TTCACTTATGTTTTTAAGGTTCATCTATGTTGCAGCATGTATCAGTACTTCATTCACTTTTATTGTCAAAAATTTCCATAATATTCCATTGCATAGATACACTACATTAAAATAATTCTATATCTATCTATCTATATAATAAAACTTGCCATTTTAACCAGTTTTAAGTGTACAATCAAGTGGAATTATTTACATTCACAATGCTATATAACCTTCACCCTATCTAGTTCCAAAATTTTCATCACTCCAAACAGAAACTGTGTGCCCATTAAGCAGTAATTATCCATTTACTTCTCCCTGCACCCGTTGATAATCCCTAATCTATTTTCTGTCTTTATAAATTTGCCTGTGATAGAGTTGTTATAGTCATTGATTAAGGACTTGTTGGATATTTGGATTGTTTTCACTTTTTGGCTATGATCAATAATGGGGCTATGAATATTCATGTAGGAATTTTTATGTGCATAAATGTTCTTATTTTTATTGTGTATATACTTAGAGTTGGAATTACTAGAACATTTCATAGCTCTTTTTAACATTTTGAGGTACTGTCAAACTGTTTTCCAAAATTGCTGGACCATTTCATGTTTCATCAGCAATGTATGAGGGTTCCAGTTTCTCCACATCCTCAGCAACCCTTTTATTTACCTGTCATTTTGATTATAACTATCCTAGTGGGTATGAAAGGAGCCCTTATGGTGCAATAGTTAAGCACTAGACTGGTAACCAAAGAGTTAGTGGTTCAAATTCGCCAGATGATCCGTGGGAGAAAGATATGGCAGTTTGCTTCTGTAAAGATTACGGCAACCCTATGGAGAGAGTTCTGCTCTATTCTGTAAGGTCACTATGAGTAGGAATCAACTTGAAGGCAGAGGGAGGGTAGCTTAAGGAGCCCTGATTGTGCATTGGTTAAAGCACTCAGCTTCTAAGTGAAAGGTTGGCAGTTTGAACCCATTAGTCATTGTGTAGGACAAAGATGTGGCAGTCAGTTTCTATAAAGATTACAACCTTAGAAACCTTGTGGGCTAGTTCTACTCTTTGTTGTAGGGACACTGAGTCAGAATCTACTTGACAGAAACAGGTTTGTCTTTTGGAATGTGGCACACTTCATATTGTTCTACCTTTCTCTGAAGCTACTCATTTTTCTTCATTCTTTTTTCTCTCTGTTATTCAGATTGCATACTTTCTATTGATCTATTTTAAGTTTGCTGATTCTTTATTTTTCCAATTCAGCTCTATTTTAGAGCCTGTCTAGTGAATATTTTATTTCCGTTATTGTACTTTTAAGCTCTAGAATTTGTATTTAGTTTTCCTCTTTTTAAAAACAATTTCCATTTCTTTATTGATGCTCTCTCTTTGATGAGATACTGCCATCATACCTTCCTTTACTTCTTAAGCATTGCTTTCTTTACTTCTTTGAATAGATTTATGATAGATTATTTAAAGTCTTTGTTAAATTGTTTGATTTCTTGACTGCTGTTTCCAAGGGCATTGTTTGTAGATCCAAGTAAAATGAAGTCCTTGACAACTTCTGTCTTTCCTTTTATCATAATGTTGCTTATTGATCCACTTGTGAGGATTTTTGTTTTCTCTTTGTTGAGATATAATACATACTGAAGGCTATAGTCTTTGATCTTCATCAGTAGTGCTTCAAGTCATCTTCACTTTCAGAAAGCAAGGTTGTGCATATGGCAGGTTGTTAATGAATCTTCCTCCAATTCTGATACCGTATTCTTCCTTCTAGTGATGGTTGTAGAATCTTGTGAATGTACTAAAAGCCCCTGAATTTTACACTTTAAAATGGTGAATTTTATAGTTGGGAATTGGATTTCATCCTCCCCAGAACTGTTATCTTTTTGCAGCCAGTTGTCCCAATCTACCTTACCTCAAGCAACTACTAATTGGATTTCTGTTATTATTGATTAGTTTTGCCGCTAAAATTTCATATAAACAAAACCATACTGCATATGTTCTTGTGCCCATCTTCTTTCTTTCAGTATGATATCTTTAAGATTCAACCATGTTGTAATTCATTCCATTTTATTGCTGAGTAGCATTTCATTGTATAGATATACCATAAATTATTTATCCATTTACCTGGTGTTTGCTATTTAAGTTATGAATAAAAATGATACAAGTCTTCTTAAAAATAAATAAAGTCTTTGTTAAGTTTGACATCTGAGCCCTCTCACAGGCAGTTTCTGTTGTCTCCTTTTTTTTTTTTCCTGTGTATGTGTCACACTTTCCTGCTTGTTTGAATGTGTCATAATTTTGTGTTAAAAACTGAACATTTTAGATAATATAGTTTATCACCTCTGGATGCTGATTCTTCCCCTCCTGCTTCCTCAGGACTTATTGTTGTTGTTTGCTTGTTCGTTTGTTTGTGACTCAGATCATCCTATTTTAGTTAAATTTTTCTCTATATATTGTGAAACTTTTGATCTTGCTTCTCAGAAGGTATAACATTGGGTATATGTACAGTTACCCTAGGATGACAGTGATTTTAATAGAACTCTCTTAGACTGTTCCTTTCCCTGATTTCTCTGTTTTGTTACCTGCATCTATTGGTATAATACGCAGCTGTTAAGCTACATTAATTGCTGGATGATTGCTTAATTTTTTTTTGACAGTGTTATGGAGCATAAATTCCTTCATTTGCAATGGAGATAGTTTCTGGCCCCTTTGCAGAGTTAGTTTTGGTGTCTTTACAGGGCTAAAGTCTTTTAGGTTTGTTCCGATTCCACAAAGATTCTTAAATATCTCTTTTCCTGGTTGTCTCTGATAAGCTAGGTGGCCTACAGTTTAGCTTTCCTGGAGCTACCAACAAACCAAATCAAACCCACTACCATTGAGTCAATTCCTACTCAGAGTGGCCCCCACTGGGTTTCCAAGACTATAAATCTTTATGGAAATAGATTGCCTCAAATTCCTCCAGTGAAGCAGTTGGTGGGTTTGAAACACTGATCCTCTGCTTTGCAGCCAAATGCCTTATTGACTGCCATCAGAGCTCCTTCCTGGAGCTACCAGCCTCTTCTTAAGTATTATTCATCACTAAAATCATTATTTCTTTGGAGAATACTTTTAGTCTTGAATTTCTCCACACTCTATTCCAAATAAAGTGAGTCTCTTGGGGAAGGCATTGTAGCTGTTTGTTCTTATAGCCTGTCTCTCCCCTTGGGTAAATTCTCTCTGTCACTACTGTGAAATTATATGGAGACAGCATCCTGTTTCTTTCAAAGTGACAGCTCTGCTTTATGAGTGTGGTTTTGGGTGAGGCAAGTAGCTTCTGGTCTTCTTGGCTTTCCTCTCCTGGCATGAAACTTTTGTTCTATGAGCAAACTGAGGCAAGGGCAATTGAGGCCCTAGTATTCTTGACCAGCCATGACTGTGGTAGATCCTCCTACAGAGGGGGACTGTGTGGAATAAGAGAGGCCTCAAACCCTTGCCTATACTTGCCTAGAATTTTGCTTCTGTAACACAGAACTATGCAAGCTAAGAAATGTTGGCGGCTTGTCCCCCCTCTCCCCCCCCTCCCCGGGACAGATACTGTAGCTCCTGACTGGGAAATGGGAGGAGAAGGACTCTATCACCAGTATGGTTGTTTCACTGGAAAGAGTCTGTGGAGCTCCTCACACTGCTATTTTAGAAGGCTCATGTTCTTTACTAAACATTTATTCACTTAATGAAGGCTCATATTCTTTACTAAACATTTATTCACTTAATGACCTGGCATAGAATTTCAATAGTATCTATAGCCATCATGGATTTTTTTTTTTTTTTCCTTAAAAAGCAGTGTATGTATATAACTGTGTGTTTTTCCTATCTTATCTCGTAACTCCTACTGAGAGGTGGTGGGCTTACCAGTTGGGCTTGTTCCTTCCCCAACCTTTCACCTAAGTGAACATCACTCTCTCCCTGACTCCCCTAGATGTTTCTTCATCTTTACTTTTATGCCTTGGCTCCAACTTTCTATTCGATGCACTGGAAAATGGCGACACAATTTGTAAACTGTCTACTTGGCTTATACACTGGCTTTGATTTCCAGTCAGTTCTCTGGCTTTTGTAAACTTCTTTGTGGACTGCCTATCTTGCTCAGATGTTGTTCTCCTCAAGACCACACTTGTTGTATTTGTGCATTAGCTTAAGGTGCTGTAATCACCCTGTTAAGAGTTATGTGGGAAAAAGGATGTTTTGGAATCAACGTAAGATTAGTTAACTGCCAACCATGAGAACCACATTGTCAGGCACATTCACTAACGCAGCTGTCCAATAATGACCTTGAACATGGCATTGCAATGGGATTCCATTAAAGATAAAGGAAACAATTGTCAGACTTTAATGTGTCTCTTTTTCTAAAGTTTAGTTGTATCTATTCAGGAGACATAGCTTTCATTAGAACAATTGAAACCAATGGGCATTTGCCTGAGGTAGACACAGACACAGACATGGAGGCTGTGTTTGAAGAGACATGTTTTTCATAGGAATCAGAGCAAGATGTAAATTTATTGTTACTTGGATCATCGTTATGTCTCATTTTGGGAATTTTAGGGTTATGTCTGTTTCCCTAATTATCTAATGTGTAAATTAAATCTGAGGACAAACTAATTAGTAAATATTAATTTACAGTGTATTAGGATTCTTTCACAATATTCCTTCTGTCCCTCCCTTCTCTCTTCAGGGAATACCCAACCATATCTTAGCATCCTTCTTTACTATTTGACTTCAAAGACCTGTAATGAAAAGGGAGTCAAACCTATGATGAAAAAATAAAGAATTACTTCCACCTTTTAGTATTTGGAACTGTAATACTATGAGATTGACCTGATATAATTATTTGATTTATGAACCCAACAAATAAGTGCTCCAATATTTCCTTGAGGTAGCTTGTTGAAGTTATAAATAATATCTGCTTTCAAAAGTGAGATACAGAGTTTTTCTTTGCAACAATCTCTAGGTGAAATAAATGTGTGATTAATCTCTCCTTTTTGTTTATTCTTTAGGCAGCAGGAGCAATTCGACCTCTTGTATCTACTGTCATCAGTCCATCTGCTGATGGTTGCTTAGACTATTCACTAGAACGTGCCAGACATACAGCAAGTGAAATGCCACAAGCTTTCTTATTTGATGTCATCTATGAAGCATACCAGCAGGTAAGAATCTGGATTCTTTGAAAAAGCTGCTGTATTTTAATTCCCCAAAGCACCCCCACATTCACATGTTTGCTAGAAGGACTCCTGAGTCTCAGGATTCAGATATTGTTGTACTGATGACTCAGATTTATTATAATGAAGTAGTGAGGAAACACAGCTGCATCACAAGAGAAGAGACACAGATGGAGTCTGGAAAAATCAATGTGCAGGCTTCCTTATGCTTTCTTTTGCCTATGAAGGACCACAAAGAACAGTGCCCTCAGTACTGAAAATAAAGCAACATATGTGCCATATTTCTGTTCAGGGAAGCCCATTATATGCTCAGTACATAATATTTTTGTTGGGGTGGGTCACATAGATCTTTTTTACTCAACACGTAGAAAAATTCCAGATTCTTAGAAGGATAGCAAGTGTTCAGCACAAACTATATTGTTTACATAAATAGTTTAGGCACAGTGAACCTCCCTTATCAGTTACCTGTTGGCTGAGAATATGCCAAGAGCCAGGTTCTCAGACGCCAGGCCTTTCTAAGAATAGCAGTTACAGGCTTGCTTGGGTATTTTTACATAAATAATTGTTGTTGTTATGTGCCATCATATAATAAAAAAAACCTCACTGCCGTATCTGTATGAAAGTAGATTGCCCAGTCTTCTTCTGAAGAGTGACTTTTGGATTTGAACCGCCAGCCTTCTGGTTAATAGTCAAATGCCTTAGGCATTACACCACCAGAGCTCCTATAGCTGCTTCCAAATCCACTGCCATTGAATTGGTTCCTATTCATAGTGACTTTCATCGGGTTTCTAAAGCTGTAAATCTTTATGGAAGTAAATTGCCTCTTAGACAAATATTAAATTTTAGTTAAAGGTAAGTGACTTTTTAAAAAAATATATTAAATAATTCCTTCATTTTTAGGTTTTATCAGATTACTTTTATTTCATTTTTCATTTCCTGAAAACCTTTTTGTACTTATAAAATTTTACTGCCATTTTAATATTTATTCAGTAATCTTTTATTGAATATTAGGTACTGAGCTTGTCTAGAGTTTTAGGAATATGTGATAATGATGATATTAATGTGAACATTTACATTGGAAGAATTCCATATATTTTAGACAGAAGGTAGTTAATCACATACATATATTCACTTATGATCAATAAGGAGTTGTGATGATGCAATGGTTAAGTGGTCGCTGATGGAAAGATCAGAGATTCAAACACACCAGCAGCTCCATGGGAGAAAAGACCTGGTGATTTGTTCACATAAAGATTATAGCCTAAGAAACTCATTGGGGAAGTTCTACTGTGTCCTATATGGTCCTTATGAGTCAGAATCAACCTGAGGGCTCATAACAACATAAATCAATAATCTTGACTTGTCTATCAGTTACTCTGTTTTTAAAATGAGATTGTGTATATTAGAAATCCATTTTAATAATAGCTCACAATGGTTTGTATTGTGTTCTTACAAAAATGAATTTAAATGAAGGAATTTAGCTTTAGGATTTAGTCATTAATCACATACATGCTATGCTATTATAAATTTCTTTTAGGTTTGCACTTAAATATCCTATTCCATAGATTAAGTCTTGCTGAGTTAGACCATCTTCTGTCATATTTTCTAAGATTAATGTAAGAATTTGTTCACCTTCATATAAACACTTATAGAGGATAATAAATATATATGATAAGTACCTATATTTCAGAAGAAAATTTGAATATAATCTCACGATTCTCACATTACCCACTTCCATCGAGCTGATACTGACTCAATGATCCTACAGGACAGAGTAGAACTGCCCCATTGGGTTTCCAAGGTTGTAATCTTTATGGAAGCAGACTGCCACATCTTTTTTCCATGAAGTGACTGGTATGTTTGAACTGCCAAACTTTCAATTCACAGAGGAGTGCTTAAACACGGTGCTACTAGGGCCGTTTGATTCTCACATCAGAATAGCTTATTTCAACAACCAGAGAATTAAGCCTTAATGCACTAAGGCATTGATTGTCAAAGTGTGGCCCAGACACCAGAGGCTTTAGCATGCTTGGGAACTTGTTAAAAATGACAATTCTGGAGTCTCAACCCAGACCTATTTAATTAGAAACTCTGGATGTGGGGCCAGCAATCTGTGTTTTTACAAACCCTCTAAGTGACCTGATTCGTACTGAAGTTTGAGGCGTTCATCTTATGCAGTGAATAGAACTGAATTCTCTCCTATGCATTCTAGGAATAATTAAGAAAATAAACCCACCCAAACTACTGCCAACTAGTAGATTCTGACTCAGAATGTTGAGTTTCCAATGCTATAAATCTTTATGGAAGTAGATTGCCTCATCTTATGTCCACAGAACAGTTGGTGGGTTTGAACAATTGACCTCTGGTTAGCAGCCAAATGCATTACCCAATATGCCACCAATAAAAACAAACAAACAAATAACTGCCTTTGAGTCAATTCAACTCACAGCAACCCCTCCTTGGGTTTCTGTGGTAGTACCTTTACAGAAGTAGATTGCCCAATCTTCCTTCCGAGGAGGGGCTGGTGGGTTTGAACCTCCAGCCTTCTGGTTAGCAGTCAAATGCCTTAGGCACTATGCCACCAGAGTTCCCCACCAGAGCTACTTAATTAAGAAAATAGCCACAAAAAAATAATTACCTGTATTCTGTGATTTGGATGAGGAACTATCACATCATTATTTTGAAGGTTTTAATATAAGTTCTTATGCAAAATTGTTCTTTATTTTCTTGTTGTTGAGAATACACACAGCAAAACACACCAACTCAACCATTTCTACATGTATAATTCAATGACATTTTTCAAGTTCTACAACTAACTAGTCTCACAGGCCCTTTTCTGAATTGTCCCTCCCTCACTAACATAAACTCATTGTCACCTAAGGTTCTTATCTAATCTTTCAAGTTGCTTTTTGTCTCTTTGATCCCATATAAATGCAGGCATACCTTGTTTTACTGCACTTTGCTTTATTGAACTTCACAGATACTACACTTTTATAAATTGAAGGTTTGTGGCAACTATGCATCAAGCAAGTCTCTTGGCACCATTTTTCCGACAGCATATGCTCACGTTGTGTGTCATATTTTGGTAATTCTAATGATATTTTAAACTTTTTCATAGTACTATTGTATGCTTAATAGTCTTTTGCATAGTGTAAACATAACTTTTGTATGCACTTGAAAAACCAACCTAATTGTGTGACTCATTGTATTGTGATATGCCACAATATCTTCGAGATGTGCTTATAGTTCTTAAAAGAACATGATGTGGAAGGTAGTCTTTTTCTTTTACCTGTTAAGCTAAACTATTTATTTGTTTGAAGGAGACTTTTGGGATATTTTTGGTTTCAAGTTTAAGGTTTAAAGATTATCTCGGGACAATAGTTTTAAAGATTTATCTCATGAATCCATGGCTCCAGAAAATCTGGAGTTCATGAGGATTTGAAATTCTGTTCTGTATTTCCCTCTTTTGATCAATAGAATCTCTGATCAAAATGTTCAGTAATGGTAGCCAGGCACCATCCAGTTTTTTTGATCTCTGGGTAAAGTAGGCAATTTGCCACACATTCCGTTTCCTCTTCCTGACTCTCCTTCTTCCTCTGTTGCTCCAGGTGAGTAGAGACCAATAATTGTGCCTTGGAAGGCTGCTTGCAAGCTGTTAACAGCCCAGGCACTATACAACGAACTAGGGGGTAGAATAGAAGCACTGTTTAGTGCTTCTTAGACCAGTTAACTGGGTTGTCCCATGAAACCAGGACCATAAACCTCCAAACCAAGGAACCAATTCTCATGAAGTTTTTGATTATACATAACACCCTTATCAGGTACTCTTTCTTTTCTTTTGTTGTTATTGTTGTAAATATATCTATCACACAACTTTTGCCAACTCAACTTTTTACAGGGATACAACTTAGTTACAACAATTAGAGTAGTTGGCTGTGCAACCCTACTCATAATTAGTGAGATTTTTTCCTCACCATTAACCTCTCTTTTTCCCTTCCCTTCCATCACTGGTAACACTAATAAAGTTGGATCTCTGTACATTTGCCTTTTCTTGTCTGTTTACATAAGTGAGATCATTCAATATTTGTTCTTCTGTAAATGACTAATTTTACTTAGCATGATGTCTTTGTGCTCCATTCATATTGTAGCTGTATCAAGACTTCACTTCTTCTACTGGCTAGTGGTATTCAATTGTATATATTATGTTCCACATTTTGTTTATCCCTTTGTGGTACAATGAATTACTTAATATGGTTCTTCGCTATAGTCCATTATTTTGTGATGTGTTATAAATCCTAGCCTCTATGCCAATGGTTATAGTCCCATTTTGGAGAGAGTTGTTTCTTATGTTAATGAGGCAGGACCAGGATGGGATGCATTTTGAGTCACACTGTCTTACTAGAGGGTGTGACCTTACCCCAGTCACCACCCTATACACCCTTGTATTGCCTTGCTCAAGTAAGGAGAGTTCCCTTGAGGCTGTAGTCTGCATTCAATATATATGAATGCTCTGGCAAAATTCTTTCTCTTACTCTGGATCCTGCATCTGGCTCATCATCATCTGACTTCTGGTTTTTGGGACTTAAGCCAGCAGCCCATGGTCTAACCTGATTTGCTGGCTTCTGCAGCCTTGTGAGCCAGTGGCTTGTCGTCTGACCTCCCAATTTGGGTTTGTGAGACCCTGCAACTACGTGAGTTGGGAGAGGCCTCCAGACTGACACCTGACCCACATGTTTGGGACTTGCCAGCCTCCACAACCTCATAAGGTATATTTTTGATGGTGTGTGAGTTCTGTGAGACATTACAGTTAATTACGGAACCCAAGGACAGGATGGAGGAGTGAGGAGAAGAATAATAGTTGATGCTAGAATGATAGAGTGGTACAGAAATTTGGTAAAGTTGGACATTTGTGACATCTTTAACCTCTGCCTCATGGAAATCAGCTTTGTGCTGATCTTTCTAAAAGATATTATTTGTGCCCCATTTTT